ATACACTTGCCGCAGATTATTGCTAAAAAAGTTCTGAAACAGAAGAACAGCAAATGAGAATGACAAAGTTAGTAATAGGATAAAAACCTTCTGTTTAATCTATTAAATTCGTGTTATGTTACAAAGCATTATTATATATATTAAATATAAATTAATTTCTTTAGAATGTTAAAAACGTTTTTATGGTGTTATACATTCCTCTCTTTTAAGGAAGCGTCGCTTCTAAATAGACTTTCTCTGCGTCACATTATAGTGAAGTTAAATGGGTAATTATGAAGGAGAGGGACTTTCTCACCAATTTGGCTGAAACTTCACAGTTTGGTGTATTTTGGTGTGTAAAACATGAATCTATAAGTTAAAATTGTCGCTCTCAATTAGGAAAAAAGTGATTAAGTACTAAAGTTGACAGTTGCGTGTGATTAGGATGTCTGTCATTTATTATACTTTGTATTTATAGACTTTTCAATATGCCAATTATTTTCTGCTTTAAAAAAAGCATAATAACTCTATTTTTATTATCTTTTTTAACCATTTAATTCAATATATTATAGTATATTTGGTACAAAAAAAACAAAACTGCACATTTTCCAAAGAAAATAATAATTTATGTCTTTTGTTGGACCAACTATTCTCTGCTTTAACAAAAAACATAAATTATAAAAAAAAAGAATAGAAATAGAGTTATTATGCTTTTTTAAACGCAGAAAATAATTGGCATATTAAAAAATCTAGAATACAAAGTATAATAAATGACAGACATCCTAACCGTGCAACTGTCAACTTTTAGTACTTAATAACTTTTTTCCTAATTGAGAGCGACAATTTTATCGGTGAGGAAGCCCGCTTCTTCTTTATAATTACCGTTAAATGGCGTAAGAAATTTTCTGCTTATGATTAATACAAACATTAATGTTATTAATTCAAAAGTGCACCTTTGTTTTTGCCTATTCGCTCCATTTTCTGTTATTCCGTTAGAAATAGCACGCTTCTTCTTTCTGTTGACACTTTTATCTTCCTGTAATATATTACATCTAGCGTATTATATCCAAAAAGATTAGCCAATTAACTACCCATATATGAAAAGCTATCATTTATCCTACTAGTTTTAGAGAGGGACTAGACTAGACACTACAGACGCGCGCTTCGCGCGCGCTATTTAGCTTTAACATTACACACAACTGTCAAAATATACGATGACAGCTGCTCATGAAGTAAGGACAGTGAGAGAACCAATCGGCATCGCGGAAAAGAGTCAACAATAACCGCGATACATTTGAGTATTGACTTTGCACGCCTTTTTAGAGAGGGATGAAATGGAACTACGAAAACCGATTTCGTGAGATTTCGTATAGCTTCTGTAGATGTTAGTACTAATAATTAAATTTATGTCTGAGGAATATTAAACTTGTACTTACATCTTGAAGTTCACCAATCAAATACTTTTTGAGCATCTTCTTTGCATCTGAAGAATGTCCGAAATCATCAAATCCACTCGTTGCATCTTTTCCCGCGTATTCCTCAAGTAATTCTGGACCACCGGGATGCTATAATTAATATTATTTCCTATATTTTGTTTATTAAATTACTTTTATTATTATTTCAGAAATTATTATTAACAGAATATTATTATAACAGAAATTATTATTAATAGCTATAAGTTAGCCTCGCATGTAACTGAGTTATATAATAACACATAATAGCAACAATAGTGTAATACAATAGTAAGTGCATAATGATATAATAAATACAAGTTAAGATATATTAATAAAAATATAGAAAAATAATAAAAATTACGGTAATGTATTGTATATCTTTTATTGCAAATTATCAAATTTGTTTTAATAATATTTATTAAAATATAAATTAAAATAACTTTTTAAGGGAATAGGTAAAAATAGATTTAATATTATACGTAGACGTTGTAATAATCAACTTTATTTTATTTTTTGAAAAGAGCACTCCATTGTTTTATTATGTTTTAATAACACGCAAGATTGTTAAAGGTGAAAAACTTATAGGTATAAAAGATATAAGATAAAAACTCTTATTTCCTAATTTTAACTAATCTTTCAAATTTTAAAAAATAAATTTTTTCAAACTCTCACATACAGATAATTTTTTTTATACTTTTAACTTATTTTCGTAGAAGAGAATTATCTTCTTTTCTTGATTATACGATAATTTCGATCACATTTTGTAATTTGTATTGCTGGAAAGTTGGAGTGTTATAAATCGCAAAAATCACATCATTATTATCAATCACAGATGAAAATGAGTACGAATTACTGCTGACTGTGTCTTCAGAAATAAAATTTATTTTAATTTTTATAACATGCAACATATTATTATATATTACAATAATTTTATAACCAGTAATATATTATTATATATTACAATAATTATATTTGTATATATATATGTATGTGTGTATATATAAATAATTTACAAAATGTTTCATATATTATTTCGACATACTTTCACGTAAAATATAAAATATCATTTAAAATATTTATTTTTTTATTTTACTTAATACTTTTGCGCATAGAATAATGAGATAATCCGATTTATATAAAAAAAATACATAATTACATTTAAAACAAAATATGTAATTTGTAATATATGATTTTATTAACGCGTAGGTACCTGTTGCATATAATCCGTTACGTCGTAAACATTGTCGTAGATCACGATCCAGGTTTTTGTTCCATTCTTGCCGTTGCATTTTGCGACATCCGCGAGCGAATAGCGAATCACTGAATCGGACATTCTTTGGCTGAATCTCGCGAGAAAAAGAGAAAGAATCTATTCGCGTCCGCAATATAAGTAACACGTGCCGATGTTGCGGAGACCGACGGTGCTCCCGGAAAATACGAACGATAAGCATATCGCGATTTAGAGAGACACGAATTGTATCTATAGATAATTGTAAACCTATTGCTATCTCAGTTCAATGCTTTATCATGCAACCAATGCAAATAATTATACGTAACATTATATTAAAGAATAATTTCTGAGAATAAAAGGATAAAATTTCTTCATAACGTGTTTGAACATTATTTTGCTTTCATAACTATTGCTAAGACAAGAGAGAGTGAGGAGTTGAGCAGAGGAAGATAGAGGAAAATAGAGAATAGAGGAGAAACGTGAAATAAGGCAAGAAATTAAATAGAAATAAAAAAATTAGTTACATGAATACCTAGGAAATCTAGAATGGGGAATTTTAAATGGTTCAGTAAATAGAGATCTAGAGAAAGAATGCATACATGCATAAGAGGAGAATAGAACACACGATTGATTATGTAATAAGAGAGGAAAGGACAAAGGAAAAAATAGAGAGATTGAAAGAATTAGGAATAAATAGATTAGAAATATTTTCCGGTGATGGTCTAATTGTAAGTAAAAGAACAGAAGAGAAAGAAAAGAGGAAAAACCAGAAAGGATAAGAAAGAGATTATTGGATGAGATATAGGAAGAGAAATTTTCAAGAGAGATATCGAAAGAAAATAAAAAGAAGGATGGTGCAAAAAAGAGTGAAAAGATCGAAAGCTGAGAGTGATAAAGGAAATATTAGAAAGAAACGATGGACAAAAAATAGAAGAAAAGGAGAAAGGGAGGTTGGGATTAGAATAAAGAATGCGAAAAAGATGAAAAGAAAGATAGGAAATGTTTACATTGTCTGTAAGTAGACATATATATTATTATATTTATGTATAATATAAACGCTGAAATAACTGACTCTAGTATAAAATGCGGAAGACAATATCATATAAATGCGAATAAAGCTAAACAATGAAAGATAGTTGTTGTCATGTGATATGGTCACGTAATGCATTTTATTGATTATAGATAATTGTAAGAAATCTTTATCATAAAAGAAAATGACAATATAAAATGATATCTACAAATTTTTACAATTGAAAAACACATTCAGTGTAAACTAGCAATTTAATCATTATAGCTTTCTTTGGGACTTATTTCCATATAAGGGAAAGTAGGGGAATACGACGCAGTAGATAATAGTGCGCACCTCAAGTTTGAGACTGTGACGATAGCTGACGATACGTAAGTGACAAAACTTCAAAGTTTACGTCAATTCTAGATAATATAGGGGAGACCAGGACTACGTGTTCACACTTTACGCTTTTTCCAAGTTTACTAAAAAACTAATAATTTTATTTTATTTTATTTTTATTACTGAAGCCCAACAGTTTTACAACCAATAACAGGGCTACTATATACAGAGGTGCGCAACATAGTAGAATAACAAAGAATAAGAGATAAGAAATAAGAAATAACAGCGTAAGAATAAAAAAAAAAAGAAAATGAGAGTGGAATGCAATTACGTTGCTGCATATGATGAATCAAAATAACGTTTCAATGCATTAGAAAAACTGCTGAACGTATCGGCAAATACATCTAGGCGGACAGAAGACTTCGCACATTCATTCTCGATTATATTAAATTCTTCACTTAAGTAATACATGGGACATGATCGAGTCCAAGCTGAATTGGAGGCACGCACGTAAAAGGAATTATAAGACCGTGACGAGAGTCTCGGAACTGTAAAATTCAGATCGGAAAGTAACAGGGGTGCATTAATAAATCCATTAACTAATTTAAAAATAAAAAGTAAAGAATAAAATTTACGTCTGTCATTAAGCGACCATTCGTTGAAACGCGCTAATAGTAAGTCATGATTAAATCCCTGAGGGGGATAGGTTCCATCAGATTTCCACGCCATAAATTTCAGAAATCGGCGCTGACAGGATTCAAGAGCATCAATATGCTTATGAAGCAATGGAAACCACACAAGACATCCATATTCCAGCTTGGACCTTACAAGTGAATAATATAAGACCTTAATAGGCGAAGTTGAACAAAAGTTTCGACATATCTTCATAATAAAACCCATCATTTTAGACGCAGATGCGACCATATAATCAATTTGAGGATTGAAAGACAATTTATTATCAATGAAAACACCAAGGTCTTTAAAAACGTTAACTCGCTGTAAGCAAACTCCATTTATGGTGTAATCGAATATGATGGGGTCATTTTTACGTGATATCGTCATTACAACACATTTCCCTGGATTCAGAGAAAGCTTAAAGAGATCACACTGCGAGACGAATTTATCAATATTACTTTGTAAATTCACACAATCAGCAATCGAAGCAATTGGCAAAAATAATTTCGCATCATCCGCGTAAAAAAGGTAGAAACAATTAAGAGGAACTGCAATATCATTAATAGAAATAACAAAAAGTAAAGGTCCTAGGTTGGAGCCCTGTGGCACACCAGAGGACGGACAAAAAGGATCAGAGCTGACACCATCATATACTACTGCATGAGATCTATTTTGTAAATAGGACTCGACGGTACGAACGATATTGCAGTGTAGGTCAAGTCGCTTAAGCTTAGATAAGATAACACCGTGATCTAAAACATCGAACGCTTTGCTGAAATTAGTATAAATAATGTCTAATTGACCACAAACCGCAAGTGAGTTACAAGCTATTTGAAGAAAAGTAAGTAGGTTTGTAGTCGTTGACCGTCCAGATACAAAGCCATGCTGACAATCGCTGAGAATGGGCAGGAACGCTCGCATAATTATGGCATATAAACATTTCTCGAAAATTTTCGAAAAATTACATAAAATAGTGATAGGCCTGTAGTTATCAATGATCTCGCGCGCACCCTTTTTAAACACAGGCGTGATACGAGCTTTCTTCCAAACGGGTGGAAAGTGGCCACTGCTAATTATTAAATTACATATATGAGTCAGCGGTAAACTAAAATATAACCAGCAGTGTTTGATTATGGAGGCAGGAATGCCGTCCAAGCCTGCAATTAACTTATTCGGAAGAGAGCGGATAGCTTTTCTCACTGCATCCAGGGTGATAAATTTCCCAGCCACAGTCACATTAGCGCAGCACACACTATCAATCCAAGAGCTATTATTACCAATGTAAACAGAGCTGAAGAAATCCCTGAATGCATTAAGAATATTCTTTGGGCCGGTAATTTCAATATCATTTCGGTACATAACTTCAGGTATACGCTTCGCCTTATTCGATTGGTTAACAAAAGACCAGAAGGATGCAGGAGAGGATGAGATGCAGTTTTCAATACGTGAAATATAGTCCTTATGCGCATTTACAATTTGATGCTTTAGCTCGTTCCGAATAGCTTTATAATTATCCAGATCATCGGTACGACCCGATCGTTTTGCTTTTAGCCTGTATTTATCCTTAGATTTAACCAATAATATAATATGACGTGTAAACCAAGAGGGATAACTCAGCGCAATACGCCTAGGTTTAAATTTAGGCACACAAATCTCAAAAAGCTCGAATATGGTTCTATAAAATTCATGGCAGGCATCATCAACGTTTAGGGAGCGAAATACATTTTCCCAAGTACAGGACATTAAATTATTTATTAATTTAGGCAAATCACAGCATTTAAAGTTGAAAGAGGGATCTTTACAGGACTCAGATTTTGCATCATTGAGAGTAATAATTGAACGCTCAGTAAAATAGATTTCGATGTATAGCGAAGGGTGATACGGATCCTCGGGTACGATAGGAAATTCTGAGCGCACGACTGTTACACATAAGTTTGATAGCACGAGGTCTAGCAGTTTATTTTTATTATATTGACAATCTGACTGTATTGAGTTAAGTTGTAGAAATGGAGAAAAGCAGACGTTGCAGCGTGTAGTGGGTTGAGGACAGAAAAATTTATAAAGCTCGGTATATTGAAATCACCAAGCACTAAAATACGCTTGTTCCAGAGTTTGCGAAGACTCATGATGTAGTCATACAGGGTTTGATACACCGTAAGTTTATTGTTAGGTGAAATATAAAAAAGTATGATATAAAAAGGCTTATGCAGTGACTCCACTTTTACACTGATAATGTTTATGTCAGACAGCTCAGCAGGATAGTTCAATAATGGAAAGAGCATCGATTTCAAGTTAGATCTAATTGCGAGTAATACACCACCGCCGATACGATCTACACGATCATTACGATAGACAAAAAAGCATTGGGAATCAAAAGCCTCGTGAGAGTGTACCGACGAGCTCAACCAGGACTCGGTGATTGCAACAATATCATATGAGAGAATGTCGGGGGAAGTTAAGAATGTATTAAGTTTGGAATTCATACCCCGTACATTTTGATAATAGACAGATAAAATTATTGGCGATTTCTTTGAGCTGCGTCCTTGATTCGAACTATCAAAGGAACTTCTTCCCTGTAAACAATACGTAGATTGGTTTCTCCGCTGCTGATTCTCTCGTTCAGGAGTACCTTCAGTTTCTTGTACTCTGCACGCTGAGCTGGTGTCCGATCGTGGGCCAATATCGGTGTCTTCGTTGATGGATTGGTCCCCTGACTTTGCTGAGGTGATGAAGTAATGGTGACATTCCTCGCCATCACATACTGGGCCCATATCTCGTTCATTGCAGCCTCCGATGTTCCGAGTATCTTTAGCGGACGCGTGACATTAGCTATCTGTTTGCCAATTCTGACAGCTTTCAGAGAGGAAGTGTCCACATCATTAATCTTCAGCAATTTCTTCAAATTCTCTAAATCCTCAATTATACGCTTGTCACGGTCCACCGCAGTTGACTCAACGATATTAAAGGCAATTAAGTTCTTTTTACAAGCGATGCGGTCACTGTACTCCTTAATGACTTCGGACATTGTTAGAGAATGAGAATTCTTGATCGTACCTTCAATGACAGAGACTCTCTTCTCAATCGTAGTAAAACGTTTATCAATCGCAGCCTCGAGTCTCGATTGATTGGCAGCAAGGTCATCTAACGAAGACTTTAGTGTTGACGTGGATGCTTGTACAAACTGCGTAATTTTGGCAGTTTGCCTTTCCAGCAACGCAGCAA